AAAAGTGGCGACATCGGCACCCGATCTTACATAGCGTTATTACATATGTCCCTTTTTTTCTATATCTATGCATTGAACCGATATGCAATAAGAGATTAATTACTTTATTACAAAAAATAAAGTAGGTAGATGATTCCTTCTTTAAAATATTTATATAGGATTTTTTATTATTATTAAATAGAATTAATATATAAAATTTTTAAATTGACGAAAAATTTCCTCACAAAAAATAATTTGTGCCTGAGTTAGGCACCAGGGCAAGGTATTAATTCGGTATTTTTTGTTATGGCTTTACTTCATGCCTTTTGACCATACCTTATAAAAATACTTTCGTCACTTCACAAACTCGTGACACTATTCAGCTTCTATTAACTCTGTTGAAAACTTCTGTAGTTTACTTTGATATTGATGTCAAATAAATAATACTCGATCAAATCAATGGACTATGCCAATTTGGTCGAGTATTAATTATTTGACAGTAATAAGTGTCCCAGCAAACTAAGTCCAAAACTGAGGAAAATATTTTTAAATGCTCAGAAGATGGATGCTGAATCACTCCAGAGTCGTCAAAATTATGTTTTAAGTAAATTTCTTTTTCAGAGATAACTGTTGTGCTTTTGTTTTTTTTTTGTTCTGTTTCCCATCAAACCCTTTTTTATTCTTTGTTGTTTTTGATAATTATGTGTTACTTTCTGTCATAAAATCATCAAGTATATACCCAGCAATAGAGACGAAATAAGGGCCATATATTCCTGGTAACACATTAGCGATACAGCTCTTATAAATGTTAACTCCAGTTTGCACTGAAATATAGACAGGCCAACTACTGACCTGTGTGTACGTCTCCGTATATTCCAAAAAAATATTCTGTATTTATTGTAATAAAGATAATATCTCTAAAAATGCAGTGCTGTTCTATTCGGTGGTGTGGGAAAAACAGCAAAACATCTAATTACAAAACAAACGGAATCACATTTCATCGGCAATTAAATATTAAATATGTAATTTTGCAATTTTCAAGCAAAGCTCAAGTTAACTGGTCGATTTGAAGTGAAACAGTTGACGACACCCATTGACGACACTCGTCAATTGTTTCGAACTCGGGCTGGCCAATCGGAGCGCAAACAAATTAAATGACATTTCGTCTCTATTTCTGGTTATATTCTCGATGCATAAAATTGACAATCCCGATTTTATTGTATAAATATTTTTTTTCTTTTCTTTTCTCTTTTTGTGGTCCTCATAGATAGAACAATTATTGGTCTGTGCTAATTTTATTTCATAAATGATCTTTTACACCAACGTGAGACCGCATTGAGTATCTAACCAGAAATAGAGACGAAATAAGGTCCATCCATCCCTGGCAACTCATCCGGTAAATGGGCCTTTTATCACTTATAAATATCAAGTCTCGCTTGCACTGAAATATAGACAGCGCCAACAACTGACCTGTGTGTACGTCTCCGTATATTCCAAAAATATTCTGTATTTATTGTAATAAAGATAATGGGGGGCTGGCTGAATCACATTTCATCGGTAATTAAATATTAAATAAGTATTTTTTCAATTTTTGTCCATTGTAGCAAAGCTCAAGTTAAACTGGTCGATTTGAAGTGAAACAATTGACGACATCCGTCAATTGTTTCGAATTCGGGCTGACCAATCGAAGCGCAATTGTCACCATAATAATTTGGCAGAATAGTTTACAAACAAATTAAATGACATTTCGTCTCTACTTCTGGTAATAATACTTGATGCCATAAGATGTAGTCATAAGAACCATTCTTCATCATAATTCCTCACTTACCGCCCGGTGTTTTCCGATCATATGATACGCCATCAACTTCTCAGTGTTAAAACCTATTAAACAGTTTTCGCATTTATATTTTAACTTTGTGAACTCCTTGTCTTCGAGATCTTGATTTCTTGTCTGAAAAATTATATAACACCTGGCATGAATAGTGACTAAAGTAGAAAATAGATGATAAGGTGGTTTGGGCACGTGTAGCGGATGTCACAGGAATCATTTTATCTCCAGGTGCACAAGTAATTTCGTATTTTCTCGGATTGGAATCGGATAGATAGATAGTCACTTTATTACCCACACACAGGAACAAAAACAGTACATAGACAGCTTCAAACTAATGTGGGCGACGGCGGCCTTATCGCTAAGAGCGATCTTTTACAGACAACCTTTGAGATATAGGGAAACTAATCAGAGCGGGATACGTAGTATGCTAATAGTAAAATTTGAATTGTGTAGAAAAAACAATAATTAACATTATATTTTGTAAAATAATAATTGACGATATACCTACCTACATGTATATTGATATATATAAATATACCTAAATAAACTTATACTTACTAATAAATAAATACACGTTGCAGACTAGGACAGTGTCAGAAGATATTTACGCAATCCAGTTTTGTTTTTTTGAAAATGGGAAGCGACTTTGAATTTATTAATTTTTTTACTAACGAAATTAAGAAATCATCAAAATCCAAAAATGAATAAGACATCAATCAAACATCATTCTGCCAGACTTAATCGTTCTGGAATTTAATCAAAGTTACATTTTAATAACAACAGCCGAGCTGCTTTTTCGGTGTCTGTTTCTGGAAGGTTTGTAAATGATGCCGAACATCCGCAATAAATATCAACATCGATAAATGCGGATGCAGATATTCTAATTTATACAGATTATCCGCGGATCCGGATGGTTGATATACGCAACACCGTAGTTTTCTTAATGTTATATTTATATATATAATTTATTTAATAAAGAAAAACAATGACATTACAAGGTGCATGGGAATTTGTGTGTGAGTGTATGTAGATGATGTGGATTTCTTCACATTAACAGATTTTTCAGTGTCTGATAATTTACAGTTAAAAAGTGTATGAATTCATTACCTGCCACATTTCTTCTTCGGTCATAGTGTACAGTTCTACCATGTCTGGGGGTAGATTTTTGAGCTTCCTGGAATCATCCCTTGATCCCCTTAACTGGGTCTGAAAGATGTCAGTTGTGCCTTGTGAGTTTACTAAGTACTTTACTAAGTAGAGTAGAGCTTCTTGTGAAAGAGTTCGTCCAGGGAAATAATGCCACCTTACCTATTTCTGTCGCCAAGCAGTAATGTGAACATTACTGCGTTCCGGTTTTGAAGGGTAAGGCTGCTGGTGAAATTACAGGCATATGGGACTTATCTGCTTATGTCTCAGGGCAACAGGCGCAATGGCAGTGTCCCTTGCGAATTAAAGCTCTGATTGGGACTGCAACTGCTATAGATGCATTTGTTAACTCGTGGACACTTTCCAAAGGATTGAATAACAAAAAGAAAATAGCGATTTAGGCAAAAAGTAACCGATACACAACAATAAATACAGTAGAAGGGCTTAGTTTGCATGACACGCGTGCCAACAGTTCGCGGAGTTCCGCAAACTTGAGCTCAGTCAGTCATTTTCGCTTTATACGTTACGGTCGTGACAATTATTTTATTTATTTATTTTTTATTTCACATGGATGGGTGGTACAAATTTAAAACCTTAGGACTATTTTAGGAGGTACATTCATTTGATACCCCGTAAAGGTGCAGCAAATTACGCTGAAAATCTTTTTTATCGTTATACATTTTGTTATAACAAACAATAGTAAACGTTATACAGCTGCAATATGGTCACTTGTTTTTTGGAGAGCTAAGTAAACATCGAAGTTCCACACTACTCCTAGGCTTAATCGTTCGTCGTCCTTCAACTTTGACAAACTTTGGAATATGTCTCCTCTTTGTATTCTTCATAACATAGTTCTAAATACAGTGTATATATGTATGAACTTACAAAAATTGACAATTCAAATGAACTTGAACTTAGTAATTGGATGAATAACAGGTTGAGGACGATTCAAATGAAACAAGTCTGGCTATTTATTCCATAAGCGTGATCAATATTCATTCGATAGTCGATAGAATGTTTATCGACTGCAAACACTAGCTGCTCGGAAGCGGGCAATACTTTGGCGCAATGAACGGTCATTCTTCAAAAATGACATACTATAACTAGCGCAATCTGACAATCCTGAGACGACAAGATTTATACCACAGCAAGCCGTTTTGTTGGTGTACTTATAGCATGGTCCACCAGGTGTCGCCACCAACACTTACTTTTTTCGTATTTTCTTTTCCTTTCTTTTTAAATTTCTTCTTTTTCTCCTTTTCTTTCTTCAGCTGTGAGAGCTGAATGTCATCTTCTGATGTCATGTCCTGTGACAAATAATCGTCAGGGATATCTTGGCTGTAGTCGGATTCTTCTTTTATTGGCGGTGCCAGCATCGATGGGAGTTCTGGAATATATTTTTAAATGAAGCAGTAATTGATGAGCCCACATACTTTTAATAGTATATTGTGTATTAAGGACTTTAAACAAGAAATTACTAACGAAACTTAGTTAGACACGTTAATGACACGAGCTCGGCATCCCTAAGCATACCGCAGCTTTATTTTCCAATTAGGGATACACGATCTTTTTTCTTTGAATCGATTTTTGTAATCGTAATGCCTATGAATCTACCCATAGATCGGAACGTATGGTCATGAATCGATCTCATGAAATTCGTTAATTTCGATAAAAAGAAAGTAATTTTAACAGCATTTTTGGTTTCAGTTGGTTACCACTTTCATTTAATGTGACACTAAACAGTGAGAAAACGCGAAAATCGTCAAATATTGTAGACTTATTATACTCAGATTTTGTCAAATTGCTTTTCTTGCAGGCCAATATAAAATAGGGGTTCGCAAAAAGACTGTTTCGTTTAAATTGTGAATAGAATAGAATAGACATTTATTGCAACGGTACGACACATAGATACAAAAAAGGAAAAAGAAATTATAACACAGACAAATGAAACGAAATAAAAAGAATTGATGAACAAAATAAAGAATACAATAAAAAAAACAAAGACAAATCTGACAAAAAGCAAAAAATAAAATATAACGACTACAAATTTTGTACTGTCATATTATGTGCGGCTGTGGCATAAGCAGCATAAGTCACAGCCGTAATTGACTGTAGCGTTGGTTTTCAATGGCAATACGATCTGGATGATTACATTCGCCTTAATGTAGAATCGATTTATTTAAAAAATCGCATTGTAATGAATCGATACAAAAAATCACTAGATTGTATACACTTGTATCAACCTTCATAAAAGTGGGATCGTAACGTGCATCTCCATTTCCAGGTACGACTAACATCATTGAAATTGCGACTATAACGTCATAACCTTAAGGTATATTACTATTCGTCACCTATTATTTGCCGTCCCGTCCTCTCATAGCCGGCCTTACAAGAGTATATTGACTGAATGAAAGTAGTTTTGTATTTTACCGTCTGTGATACATACAATGTTTTTCATCACATTTGCGAGAAAATAAACACAATGTTTATTTCTTGTATGAATAAATATGGTTCACAACCATTATAGATTTTGTGCAAATGGCGGCATTTTTTTATATTTTTTATCAACAGATGGCCAGCTAGCTATTCTTCCATAGACAATAAATACAACTCGAACTAAATGTTGAAAAAAGCAAAGACACATACACCCATGTTGGATTGTAAAAAAAAGTGCAAAATACAGAAAATAATTAAAATCAATTATAACAAATTCTTAATAATAAAGATTTAAGTAGTATGATGCTGAATTGCAATTAAATTTCTGTTTAGATAAGATTTTAAGCAAATGTTTTAATTTTGAAGTTAAGTAACCTCCTTGCTTGAACTTGTACCTATAAGGAAATATGTCGTGCTACAAATAAAAATCTCCTTACCGACCATGGCTCTAATGGGAAGAAAAAAGGCCCGAGGATTTTATTTGGGGCATTATAGACAAGTCAGCCACCATGCAATACTACTATTTAAAAGCAAGTGTGATGAAAATTATTAAAAAACTCACCCAGTTCAATATCATATTTGCCCTCGAATTCATCTTTGACTTCCATCTGTGGTATTGCTTTCTGAGGCATCTGTACATTATCTTCTATTATCATCGCACTCAGTCTTTGTACCGCATACTGGGTCAGATCCAGAGGGGAGTTTAGGAATGTATGCTGAAGAAAAAAAGGAACAAAACTATAACCAGAAATAGAGACGAAATAAGGGCCATATATTCTTGGTAACACATTAGCGATATAGCTCTTATAAATATCAACTCCCGTTTGTACTGAAATATAGACAGGCCAACTACTGACCTGTGTTTACGTCTAATAAATAAATAATAACGCTCACAATCAACATAGCCCCGCACTATGGAAACCCTGTGTCGCGGGTGCCATGGACACACACATAGACAACCACAAATTACACCCAAACTCACGAGAGAAATAAATGTAGGCCATACAAATATTTCTCTCGGCCCGGGAATCGAACCTGGGACCTCTGCGTGGCAGTCCGGCATGGTAACCGTTCGGCCACGGAGGCAGTCTCCGTATATTCCAAAAAATATTCTGAATTTATTGTAATAAAGACAATATCTCCAACAATGCCGTGCTGTTCTATTCGGTGGTGTGGGAAAAACAGCAAAACATCTAATTACAAAACAATCGGAATCACATTTCATCGGTAATTAAATATTAAATACGTAATTTTGCAATTTTCTTCCATTATAGCAAAGCTCAAGTTAACTGGTCGATTTGAAGTGAAATAGTTGACGAGACCCGTCAATTGTTTCGAACTCGGGCTAGCCAATCGGAGCGCAGTTGTCACAGTAATGATATAGCAGAATAGTTTTCAAACAAATTAAATGTCATTTCGTCTCTTATTTCTGGTTATACACTCGATGAAGCCATAGCAGTACTAATTTATTAATATATAGACCATACACAAAAAAAAATTACAGGCACTTGGGACTTCTGAACTTATGTCTCAGGGTGACAGGGGCAGTGGCAATGTCTCTCAGATCTTTGCGATTTAACAGTCTATACAACCTCAAAGGGCTTTGGTTAATTCTGCATAACAGTCAAATTGTTGAATCAATCACTATGGTAAAAGTAGACCTATAGTAAAACTGAGTATATACACAGTTAACTATACAGTGTCAAAACACGATTCCCAAAAATTTTACAAGAGTTCCGCTGTGTTCAATAGGTACTTCACATATACCAATGATTTTTTTTTCAATATCAACTGAACTATACTTTATTTCAATCCATTTTGAACAAAAAGTAAATAGTCACTGACCCGACTATAGACAGTTTAGTGATGGCTAATTGTAACGCCAACTACAAATCGATTAATTAATTGAATGAATCGATTTGTTCAAATGAGTCATACTAGCGGTTTTCCTTACATAATCTATATAAGCATATTTAAAATTTCAATTTAAATCCTCCTTCAAATCCTTACACTTAGATACTCGTGCGAGTGCGATTGAAATGTTCGATTTAATAATTGATTATTAAACTTTAATTGATTGAACTGAATATTTTTTGAACAGCACTTTGCAACCATAGGTAAGTCATAGAAGTATAGATGAATAATAACCTCACTTTTGGACTACCGTTTTTCAAATACGATTTTATGATGCTATTCAAATGAATATTGTTGGAAAAAATGATATATCAAGTCGAAATCTTCGAAATAAAAGTGAAAGTGTTACTTATTTGATTTATTGAGTGATTGCTTTATGATTTTAACCAAACAGGTGGGTTTACTTTTTGTTTAAAATGTATTGGAACAGACTATAAATAGAACATGTATAATATACGATAAAAATTTTTCAAAATAAAAAAAATAACTTCTGAAATAAAGCCAATGTCCCGGCCGACTCTTAGAGTCGTATTCTAGAACTCTACTTAATGCTCAAGTCAGGATTTGAGTATGGTTTAAAGCATTCGAAATCATACTCAAGTCCCTGCCATTAGGGTCGTATTTCCAGTGCTTGTGTTGCCAGTGCAATCCTGACTTGAGCATTGAGTAGAGTTTTAGAATACGACCTTTAAAGCTCTGAGTGGCACTGTAACTGTAACAGATAGTCATGTCACATAGCACCAAACACACAACTTGTTCATCCCGTCACTGGGTATTATAAAACAAGGTTTATAACTGAATTTGTCTAGGGTAATACTGCCACCATGTCTATTTCTGATGCAAGCAGTAATGTGGCGTTACTACGTCCTGTTTTTGCAGATTAAGGGCACATGGGACTTGTCAAGTCTTAGGGTGACAGGAACAGTGGCAGTATCTCACTGATCTTTGCGACTTAAAACTCTGTGCGTGGCTGCAACTGCTATGGGTAGACGTGTCGCTTATCAACGCACAACTTGTTCGTCCCATCGAACTCACCATGACCGAATTGAGGAAGCCCTAAAGGAAGGCCAGGTCAAGGATGGCTTCACCCGAGTGTGTATAGGCGTTGAAGATATGTGGCAGAATCGTAGCAATTGGATGGCTGTGGTCTCTACCCACTCCGATGGGAAAAAGGTGTGAAGTTAGAAAATTAATGCAAAGATTAGGAGTAATAGGTTAGCGTGGTATGAACATGTCATGCGGAGGGAAGAATGTCATGTGACGAGAAGTGTGTTTGGTATGAATATTGAGGGACAGGTAAAGGAAGGCCAAAGAAAAGATAGATGGATTGTGTGGAAGATAACTTGGATAAGAAAGGTACGAGTATGGAAATGACGGCTGATAGGGGGAGTGTGGAAGACAAACGCATTTTGTTGTGCCGATCGTGCCTAGCGTGAATAAGAACAAGAAGATTACCTTTCTAGAATAATCAATGAGCACTTCATAAGAGTGCAAAACCTGTGCTTGGAACCGTGTCACTGTGCGAATAGTGGCCATGCACTCCCAGCACACCTGGATTGACAGACCATCGGGCACCTGGAACACGTTCACACTTATATTCAACACTTATTTTGTGAAATATACTGTTTTATGTAATATTGTGGATTGTTTTTAATTTACTTTGCCTGCAAAGAGCCCAAAATAACATTCTCAGGGTACTATCTACTGCACTCAGGTATGCTCGCAACTTCATAATACACAGCTATCTGAACTAATAATGGTTTTCAAAGAAGCTAAATGCTATTCAGTATCATACAGGTATCGACTAGCAGCTCATTGTTGTAATATTTAGTAAATAATAAATATAGTGTTTACTTGTGAGAATTTTTTATTGTAGTGACATACTCGAAACATCGCCCTGATAGCTGCCTACAGTGCTAAACACTATAGAGAAGCTCTGTCACTGGACAGGACGGCATTGTGGCTTGAACAAGCACATGTCAAATATTGGACAGCGAGAAAACAGAGCATGCTGTGCATCTCTAATGGGCGTAAGAAGTAATATTGGGTAGGCACAAGCCACACCCAGAGGACATAAAAACTGTCAGAGCTAGGTAGGTTCCTTAATGCTGTTGGTCTTGGCTCCGAATTAGTAATTAGTGGTGATCACAATAGACCATTTAATGGTCGCAGTGGTGAGGGGCCTCATAGGCCCCAAATGAAGCCACCCTAATAACAATAATATATCAATTTAGGAATTTTTAGAATGTGTTTAGCAAATAATTAAGTTTTATTCTTAATTATTTTTATGACGTCAATTTAAATATTTGCAAAGCGACATGTGGCTTAATAATATTCTGCTTTTAACTGTAATTAACGCAATGTTTATGCAAAAGTACAAACAAAATATTTTAATTTCGAAAACAAATAAAAACTAAAATACAAATGGCGGATCCTGTGGCTTTTTGTTCCAATGTTTACGTTTTTTAAAACAAAAAATAAGATGCCTAAATTTGAAAAAAAGAACAAATACGTTAAGTTTATAAAAACTGTTTTGTAAATTGTTCGAAAAACGTGAGAAAAACATATACTTACGTCAATATCGGCTAAAATTTTGAAACAATCCTTTACGTCCTCATGATTGAACATTTTACGGCCGTAATTTAAGCAGCCAACACAAATACCATTAACATTGTAGCCTTCTATATTAATATTAATCTCCCTCATTTTTATAGTATTTAACACTTTATTTTAATCAAAAAGTTCTAAGAAAACAATTTTACATTATTCCCTTTCGTAGTATTTTTTTATTGCTGCTTTTTTATATCAAAGCAGAATTTACAAATGACGATATCATGTCCACTGTTTATATAGCGTTGTCTCTGTCTGACAATTTTATTTCGTTAATAATTCCGCGTAATAGGCGCATTTGACATTAGTTTTGTTATTTTTGGTAGAATTGACGCTTGACAATTAATGTTGCTATTTAATATTGATTCCAGCCTTTATTGCAAAATATTGGCAAATAAAGTAAAGCTATTGTAGTCGATGTAAGAAAAATGTTCTTACTTTGTTTTAATTTGCCTTCATTTTGTATTATAATTCATTATTTCAAGTTTCCTTCAGAGTCAATTTCAAGAATAATAACTTATCCGTTAGCCTAGTTAAAATGATAATATAGATTTTAAAGCGTTTATAGACGTCCACTAAATACAAATTTCTTACAAGGACGTGAGTTCTTTTTATTTGATCACTGTATTCTTTGCTTAAAATGGCCACGAGTTGACCTCTATATGTCATATACTTGTTATATAGGTAATTTATTTTTCTTAGTAACATAAAAAAATAAATTAAGTGTTATTTAAAGAAAACAATACACAAATAAATTTTAATTCATGTTTAATGTACAACATTTACAAAATAAAAAAAATTGGGTAAAAGAAGATCAACAAAAAAATATGGCAATGCTTTTAAACTATATTCACCAATTAACAGCCCTATTTTTAAAACCCACAATAATCTCACCCACAAAAACTATTTTTTTGTAAGAAGTTACTTTTTAACTGTATAATGAATTAAATGATCACATTCTCTCAGTCGAGCAGCAGCCTGTTCAGGCGTTAAGTCTCGTTGATACTGGGCTAACATTTCGTAGCCAACCATGAATTTTTTCACCGCAGCCGAACGAAGCAAAGGCGGGAGATATAGAGCATGTAATAACCAATGTGGGGAGTCGCCGGGAACTGTGTTTGGGCCTGTCGGTGCTCCTGAAATTAAAAAAAGTAGTCAATACTGTTACAGCTGGTCTTTGTTTCTTAACTTCCATTAATGTAGTATTATATTTAATATCAAAATGACATTAATTATATACAGGCTGATAAAAAATTCACTGGCTATTTTTTTTCTTGTGCATAAGATTCAGTAACAGAACACATTATTGAAATAAAACAAAAAATCCCCTTTTTTTTGTTAATATTTCCCAATAATTTCTAACGCGTGGTTACCTCAAAAAGTAAATAACATTGAGAGATCGGCGTCGACAGACCGGCGCTAACGCATCGCGCGTTAGTTTAATACTTTGTGGCCTCTGCCCCACACCGTTCTTGTTGCTATAGCAACGACGTCGGCTAATCATCGGGTGTCAATATTGTTCACAATTTTTCGGAAAATTTTGAGACGTCATTACTTATTTATTTGTTGAGTATATGAAAAAAAAAAACCGAACATGTATTTTTTATTTCCATTACGCAGTATGCTCCTTTAAAATGGTCAGTGGTTTTTTTTATCACACTGTATACTGTTGTAACATTTTTATTAAATTTTATGACATTGTACATAACAGATTATTCCACTCCACCTGATGTTAAATGGTAAGTGGAAACCCAACGAGAAGGTACCTACTGCAGTGTTGATACAATTATCGTCCTAACAGCCACCTCCATCCTGAATGCTTACAAGATGCCTCTTCACGCCTTGTTTGAAGGACCCCACATCGTAAGGAGGGAATACGTGTGCTAGAAGGGAGCTCCTGTCGACTGTGCGACCAAACCTTTTAGTTTGCGATGGAAAACCGCATGTTGCTACATATACGTTCGCTAATAATCTAATATTAACCGTTACCCTTAGGGAAGCTGAATAATTTGCCACACAAAAATGTCATAATATTTTCAATTTTACACGGGTGCGGTCGTTCTGAACCATAAACTTACCATGCCAACCCATACTGTAAGGAAAACTGCAGTTAAACAAATTATCATATTTCGTATTCAATAACTTCATGATTTCGGCCAAATCTCTCTTCTGGTCGTTGCTTAAGTCTGTCAAACGTTGTGGAGCTCCCGTCTTCGGTAGGAGCATGGTCTCAAAAGGCCAGATTGCCCAGTAAGGCACCAAGGCCACCCAATGGTTGTTCTCTATGACTATACGTTCCTGTAAAAGAAACCAGTTTTTGAGAATTTCAACTCTAGCGTATGACATTGCAGTGGCAGCAGAGCTCTTGTGGTAGAGTATGGGTAGAGTTCGTCCAAGGAAGTACTGTCACTATAATATCTATCTCTACTGCCTATACTACAGAGGTTTAGATAATTAACTCAGTACCTATAAACAAGCTGTAACCGTAATAAAGTATTTTATGACACATTACCTGGTTAATTATTGTAAAATTATGACGAACTTTTTGAAAATGTTTCTCGATAATATTTTAGGACAATAGACAATATTTCGAATTACCTATTTAAAATAGCACTAAATATATAATAATAATATTTAATAACACGTAACACGTATAGGTTTAGTAACAGTACAACCCCTTGTGAAAGAGTTCTTCAAGGGAAGTAATGCCACCTTACCTATTTCTGCCGCCAAGCAGTAATGTTAGGACTTGTCAGCTTATGTCTCAGGGTGACGGGCGCAGTGGTAGTCCCCTCAGATCTTTGCGATATGAAGCTCTGAGTGGCACTGCAACTGTTATGGACAGGCGTGTAGCTTACCATCAGGCGCACGACTTGTTATCCCGTCACTTGATATTATAAAAACAATCGTAATAATAACGTTCCTACGATAAACAACCTTTAAAAAGGTGACAACTAATAACGTGCGACCAAATTAAAATGTACAGCAGTAATACGACATATGAACACATGGGACTTGTCATCTTATCTCAGTGAATCTGAAACAACCGAATTGGTCCTATCGGGATTTAAAGACCCGAGACCTCCTCATTCAGTGTAAGCCTAATAAGTAGCAATAGAACTCCTAGTGAAAGAGTTCGTCTAGGGAAGTACTGCTGCCACCTCACCTATTTTTGCCGCCAAGCATTTGTGAGCATTACTGCGTTCCGGTATTGAAGGGTAAGGATGCTTATTAAATTACAGGCACATGGGACTTGTCAACTTATTTCTCAGGGTGACGGGTGCAGCGGCAGTACCCATAAGGTCTTTCCCATTTAAAGCTCTGAATGAAACTTTCACCAATCGTTGTCTGCCTCACCTTTTTTTCCAATTCTTGCTCTAAATAATCCACTAACATGGCCTTCCTGTGCTTCGTGTAATATTCCATCTGAGTTCTGTAATAAATAAGTGTTATTATCAATCCGAATACCTTCCGCAGCAGCATTTTTAAGCCGCACTCCACCATCTTGGCCCATTACGGGTTTATAAACTTCAAACGTATTTGGAGAGTTATATGTGTAATTCTTCAACATGCTGGTTACATTGCGATATTTCTCTTCACAGCAAGTAATCTTAAGTTACAAATATTTGTGTATTTATTTATTGTACAAATTTGTTTGTACAATACACAAATCACATTTAGTAAAACGGAAAACACAAACAGAAGGTACTGCTTATTTCTATAAGAAATTTCTTCTTGCACACCAAAATACAGGACACAATAATTATATAACAATATTAAATTATGACATAAACTAATAAAACAAAAATTGCAAAAATATTAACTTACAAGAGCTTACAAACACTTAGACAAATACATATTTCATATTATAAAAATGTATAAAGTGGATGGAAGAGAGGATAAATTCCTTGACTCGCATTTTAAACATAGCCAAGGATTTACTATCATGAACAGTAATGGGAAGTGGGTTCCAAAGTCTGACCGCATGAATAGTGAAGGGGTGAGAATAAAAACCGGAATTGAATGAAGGAAAAGATAACTGGGACCTAACGAGAGAGCGACAAGGCTGGCCTTGGGACCTGAGAAAGCTGAAAGCTCTTTCAGATACCTGGGAGACAAAGGATTATGTAGAATGTTGTAAAGAAGAGAGACGATATGCAAGATCCTGTTCCTGCAATTTTGTATTGCAAAAACGAGCGATTCGTTTTGTGTACCGTCTAGGCTCTCCGATTTCTCTCAGAGAAAAGTTTAATTTACTCAAATATTTTCTATGCCCGTAAAAATATATTTAATTTCAATAAGAAAGCAGATATCCATAATATTGACCTTAGAGCTAAGTCCAAACACATGGTACCACGATTTCGTTTAACCAAGGTAAACGATGCGGTTAGGGGGGACGTATGGGGAGCTGTATACGTTTTTACAATAAGATTCCGGTGCATATATTAATATTATCATTTCTTAAGTTTAAAAACTACATTAAAAATATTTTGATTGAAAAGTCATACTACAAAATTGAAGACTACGTGTTAGATAAAGATGTATGGAAAGACGATATGGCTCCAGAATCCACACAAATTTGATTCAAAGAGTATTCCATAGCATTTAAGTTTATTTGAAAAGAGCAATCCCCAGAGTTTCTTGTTCGTTCTTCTCAGGGAAGTCAGCGCAGTGAACGACCTTAAATGTGACGTTTTCAAGTGTAAATTTATTTTACATACGGAATAAATGATTCTTTGGCTTTGACCTGTACAATGTATGTACGGACAACGGCATATCAGACTGCACATTTTTGTTCGAAAATCGCCTCCAGTGCAACGGAACAAGATACGTCAATGTGTAGCTTGATGTGCTGGCGTGTGTACATATTCTCTCAAATTCTTTCAGCATATAGAGGTTTATTACAGAACATAAGCCTCTTCAAAGAATCGCCACTTGGTACGTATAAGGGGTGCACGAGGAGCCTCTTCGCACGACATACGATTTCTTTCCTATCTGAAACACCCAAGGCAATAGCAATCGGCAAGTACCTCAATCTGATTGGCAATACATTTCACCACCATAGCAAGTTACAGTGTATGCCCTCGATACGATAGGATGAAGACAGTCGTGTTTATTTTATTTTATTTATTGCACAGGAAAAGGAACAGATTACACTTAAGGAAAACACAAACAAACGGTACTGCTTATTTCTATAAGAAATTCTTCCTGCAGACCTAAATACAGGACAAAATAAGTCTAAAAAGGGTGAAATAAGAGATTGGGCGAAATAGATTTTAGATTTGTTCTGCTTGCATTACAATCCCTTTCCCGATTCGAGACATCTTTTAAAGAAATATTTAGTCCTTCTTATCCATCTTTTTTACGGTAAATATTAGGAGATGGGACGCGAGCAGACGGTTCACAGAGTGTTATTATTGCCACTTCTAAACTTATGTGATACTAAATAAGTATCCTTTATTTGGCAAATACGTTCACGTACGTGGGGCATCAGATATCAAGCTCCTGTGGCCGTAATTGCGCTGGTTTTTCTAACCTTTCAACCCGTAACACAATGGTACTGCTCCCAGGTCGTAGTCATATCATTTAAAACATTATGTGGTACAGAAAAGGTCTTAGATTTATTACATACCTGCTCCAACTTATGCCCTGTAAAGGTAATGCTATTTAACTAACTTCACTAAGGACAATTGTCTTTTTATAATAAAAATAACTCTTGTAAATTATAATTTACTA